ATTCAATATTTAAATATCAATGTAATCTACCATATTAATGGTCTAAAGAGAAAAATCACATGGTCATATCAATAATGCAGAAAAAGCATTTGACAAAATACAACATCCACTCATGATAAAAATTCTCAGTGAACTAGAATAGAATGGAAAGTTCCTCCACCTAATAAAGGGCATCTACAAAAATCCTACAGCTAACATCATACTTAATGGTGAGAGATTGAATGTTTTCCGTCCGAAGATCAGCAACATGTCAAAAATATCTATTCTCACCACTCTTATTCAACAGAGTACATATAAGTCTTAGTCAGTACAATAAGCAAGAGAAAGTCATAAAAGCCATTCAGATTAGAAAGAAACACAACTGTCCCTATTTACAGATGACAAGATTATCAATGTAGTAAGTCCCAAGGAATCTACAAAAGATTCTTGGAACTAATAAATGAGTTACAGGATACAAGGTGAATAGACAAATCAATTGTATTTCTATATGCAAACAATGAATAATTGGAAACCAAACATGTTTTTAATTGCCACGCACAGTATCTCCAAAATGAAACACTCAGGTCTAATTCTAACAGAACATGGACAGGATCTGTATGCTGAAAACTCCAAATGCTAATGAAAGAAATCAAGGAAAACGAAAGTAAATGGAGAGACATAATGTGACCATGAACTGGAAACTCAATATAATAAAGACATCAATTATCCCCAAAGTGATCTATGGACTTAATGTAGCAGCTATCAAAATCTCCGTAGGGTTTTTTGGTAGGTTAAACAAGCTGATTCTAAAAGTTATATAGAATAGCTAAAATAGCTTTGAAAAAGAACAAAATTGGAAGGATCACACTATCCAATTTTAAGACTCATTATAAAGATAGAATAATCAAGACATGATATTGGTAAAGGGATAGACAAGTAGATCAATGGGACAGAATAGAAAGTCCAGAAATAGACATACAAAAATATGGCTCTTTGATCTTTGACAAAAGTGCAAAAACAATTCAATTAAGGATAGTCTTTAAAAATCATGTTGAAAACACAACAAAAACTAAAGCTTGACCTAAACTTCACACTTTATGTAAAGATTAACTCAAAATGGATCATGGATCTAAATGTAAAACATAAAGCTATAAGTCTTTTAGAAAAAAACATAAAAGAAAATCTTTGTGACCTGGGGATTAGGTGTAAAGTTCTTACATACAGTAGGAAAATCACAATCCATAAAAGGAAAGAAATGGATAAACTGGACTTATTAAAATTAAAACCTTTTGTCCTGTCAAAGACACTCTCAAGAGAAAAAAAAGATAAGCTACACACCGAGAAAAAATATTTGCAAATTGTATGTATGACAAAAGATTGGTATCTAGAATACATAAAGAAGTCTCAAAAATTAACAATAAGAAAACAGAATTTTTTTTTTTGAATTAAAAAATGGGCAAAGGACTTGAACAGGCACTTCACCGAAGAGATTATGAGGATGGTGAATAAGAACATGAAAAGATGTTCAACCCCATCGGCCATTAGGGAAATACAAATTAAAACCACAATGAGATCTCACTATATACCTCTTTTAATGGCTACAAGAAAAAATACTAAAAACTAGTCCTCATCAAAATCGAGAATTTTGCTCTGTAAATACTCTGAAAAGACAGGCTACAGATTGGGAGAAATTATCTCCAAAACACAAAAGACAAAGGACTAGTATCTAGACTATGAATAACTCTTGAAACTCAACAGTGAAAATGCAAACAATCCAATTAGAACATGAGCAAAAGACAAGAGCCATTTCATTAAAATATTTAGGTGAGTAAATTAGCATATGAAAAGATGTTAACCATCATTGGCCATTAGGGAAATGCAAACTGAAACCACAAGAGACCTCACCACATCCCTGCTAAAATGGCTAAAATAAAAAGTAGTGACAAATGCTAGTGGGCATGCAGAGCAACTGTATCAGAGATTGCTGGTAGGAACATAAAATGATACAACCATTCTAGAAAATAGCTTGGCAATTACTTAAAACTCTAAACCTGTAACTACCGTACAATCCCATAATTGTGCTCCTGGACGATTATCCCAGAGAAAAGAAGACTGTGTTCATTAACCTACACACAAATGTTTCATAGCAGCTATATTTGTAATAGCCAAAAATTTGAAAATGATCCAGATGTACTTTAAGGGTAAATGTTTAAATAAGATGTGGTGCGGGGTGCCTGGGTGGCTCATCAGTTAAGTGTCCAACTTTGGCTCAGGTCATGATCCATAGTTTGTGGGTTCTAGCCCTGCATCAAGCTCTGTGTCTGACAGCTCAGAGCCTGGAGCCTGCTACGGATTCTGTGTCTCCCTCCCACCCTCACACTCTGTCTCTGTCTCTGTCTCTCTATCAAAAATAAATAAACATTAAAAATTTTTAAATAAACTGTGGTGCATCCATACCATGGAATACTACTCAGCAATAAAAAAAAGGAATAAACTATTGATACATACAACAACCTAGATGAATCTCCAGAGAATTAAGATGGGGGGAGGGGGAAGGCAATCTCAAAGAGTTACATACTATATGACCCTATTTATGTAACTGTCTCAAAATGACAACATTCTAGAAAAGAACAGTTTAGTGGTTTCCAGGGTTAAGGAGGGGATGGGGGCAAGGGGTAAGTGGGGGTAACTATAGAAGGGCAACATGAGGGGCGCCTGGATGGCTCAGTTGGTTGAGCATCTGACAATTGATTTTGGCTCGGGGTCATGATCCCAAGGTTGTAGGATCGGGCCTTGCATTGGGCTCTGCATTGAGCTCAGAGCCTGCTTAAGAGTCTTTCTCTCTCTCTGTCTCTCTCTCTCTCCCTTTGCCCCTCTCCCCCGCTCGCAGTCTGTCTCTCAAAAAATAAAACAAAAACAAAAACAAAAAAACCCCAAAAAACAACAACCTTAAAAGTAAAGGGCAACATGAGGGATCCTTGTGGTGGTGGAAATAAATAAAAAATACAGACAATATAAAATGAAGGGTGTGGAGGAACTAGAATTCTCATACCTTGCTGGTCGGAATGTAAAAGGGCAGGTACAGCCACTCAGGTACATAGACTGGCAGTTTCTTATAAAGTTAAACACACACCTACCACATGACCAACCATATCACCTTAGAGAGACGAGAGCTGTGTTTACATAAAAACCTGTACCTGGGGTGCCTGGATGGCTCAGTCAGTTAAGCATCAGTTTCTTGATGTCGGCTCAGGTCATGATCTCGGTTCGTGAGATTGAGCTCCTAGTCAGCCTCTGTGCTGACAGCATGGAGCATGCTTGGGATTCTCTGATTCTCTCTCTCTGCTCCTTCCCCCGCCCCCCACAAAATAAATAAGTAAACATTTTTAAAAAACCACCTGTACCTGAATGTCCATGGCAACTTTATTTTTGACAACCAAAAACTGGAAACAAAATATCTATCAATAAGTGAATAAATAAACAAACCATCCTATGGACTGTTACTCAGTCCAGCCATTCCTATGGACTATTACTCAGCAATGAAAAGGAACAAGCTATTGATGCATATTACAGTTTGCATCAATTTCAAAGACATTAGGCTGAATTCAAGAAGCCAGCCTTTAAGAGTTATATATTGCATGAATCCATTTACATGATATTCTCAAAAAGGCAAAACTATGGTGATAGAGAACAGATTAGTGGTTGCCAGGGGAGGATGTGACTAAAAGAGGTGGCATAAGGGCATTTGGGGGCTGATGGAACTGTTCTGGATCTTCACTGTGGTGGTAGTTACAGAAATCCATACATGTGTTTAAATTTATAGAACTGAACACCAACAGGAAAAAAGCCAATTTTACTGCAGGGTAATTAATTATTTAAAAAGGGATCCCTTTGGGGGGCACCTGGGTGGCTCAGTCAGTTAAGTGTCAGACTTCAGCTCAGGTCATGATCTCACGGTTCGTGGGTTCAAACCCTGTGTCAAGCTCTGTGCTGATAGCTCAGAGCCTGGAGCCTGCTTCGGATTCTGTGTCTCCCTCTCTCTCTGTCCCTCCCCTGCTCATGCTCTGTCTCTCAAAAATAAATAAATGTTTAAAAAAATTTTTTTTAATTAAAAGGGATCCCTTTTCTTCAATGATCAGCCTCGTGCCACATTTGGATGTCCGGTACCTACCACTTGCTCCTTTGCTTGGCCTCTTTGTGCTTTGCACAACCTGTATGATCACAGGATTCAATCCCACCTGGCTGGCTCCAGAAAAGTAGAGAAATAGTATTTAAACAATACTACATAGGGAATTGCGTGGTACTCGGAGTAAAGAATGAATACAATCTTTTCACTTTCTCTGTGGATAAATTGGATGTTGGGTTCACTTTCCAGTTGTTTCTTTGGAAACCTGGTAATGGTGGAATGTCAGCTGTGTTCCCAGCTAACGCTGGTTACGGTAAAAATGAGCCCAATTAGTCTACTATACCTGGACCAAGAAGACTGGTCCAGAACAATAAATACCCAGTGGGAATCCCTAGCTTTGGGCTTCTTGGAGCACAATAACTCTTGTAATGGGGCATGCCATTTGTGGGACTCTGGAAGCAACAGATAAGAGAATGACAAGAGATGTTGGTTCTATTTGGGAAACGAGGCTTCTAAAACCCAGATAGCTCCCATACTTATCCTCCACCTTCTTAAGAAAAACTAATGCCCACTGAGGTCTATTGTAGCTGTGTGAACATGAAATAACTAGTCAAGCAAAAAAACCAAAAAAACAAAACAAAACAAAACAAAAAAATGACCATTGAATGGGCATTGCAAATACTCTGGAAGGTATTTATAGCTCTAAACTGAGTCTTTTGGAACCATGCTGGAAGAGTTAGAAATCTGGCTGGTAAGGGAAGAAATGATAATAATGTGAGTGGAACTCACCTATTTTTTTTTTTTTTCTATTCACCTAGCAAAGTAAATTGTTTAATCTGGGTAAGCAGACAAGGCCTGATAGGTTGTGGGTGAAAAGGCTTTGTATCTTCCTTACCTTGGGGAACTTGCACAAGGCCAACACTTATACCGGCAAGTAGGTCTCCGAGAAGCCAATCCTTGAATCGGTACAAACACATCCACTCCAGGAAGGGAAAGATCGTTAGCATGCATCTTAGGAACTTGTGCCATGAGCAGCTGCGAGAAAGAACAGAGACTTGATTCGGTTTTCCGAAGAAAAAGCCTGCATAGCCAAGAAAAGGCACAGTGCGTCGTTCTTCCCATACAGCAGAGTTTCTTGTCAGCACTGATGATGTTCTGACAAGCCAGACTAGATGACTCTTTGTTGTGGGACCGTCCCGTGCACTGCAGGATGTTTAGCAGCATCCTTGGGCCTCTACCCACCAGATGCCAATAGCATGCCCTCCCCAACTCGTGACAAGCAAAAAAATGTCTCTAAACATTGCCAAATGTTCCCTCGGGGACAAAATTGCCTCTGGTTGGGAACCAAATGCCATACATATGATAAGAACTCAGCCTTATAGTCTAGCATACAAAACAGGATGTTTGGAAAGAATTAAACCTAGAAACTTTCTAGTAGAAAAATGGACTGTTATTGCTTTCTCTTGATAAGCACAGTGTTTTGAGATGTGATATTGATGGAAACCAGGGGCAATTAACACATCCGTGTCATTCCATATGCTTTTTTTTTTTTTTACTGAAAATTAACTCTATTTGGCTTTGATCTGTAGTATGTCGAAATTTATAGAAAATATAGGTAATGGAGGGGTGCCTGGGTGGCTCAGTTGGTTAAGTGTCAGATTTTGGTGGAGGTCATGATCTCGTGGTTTGTGAGTTCAAGCCCCACATCCTGTGTGCTGTCAGTACAGAGCCTGCTTCAGATCCTCTGTCTGCCTTTCTCTCTGCCTATTCCCCCACCTCTCTCTCTCTCTGTCTCTCAAAAATAAGTAAATATTAAAGAAGAAGAAGAAGAAGAAGAAAATGTAGTGGATGGATCCTGTGCTTTAGGAGTTAGCTATGTAAAGAAAAGGCATTAAAATAAAGCTTTATTATCCTTTAACCTAGTGGACATCAATCAGAAACAATTTTGTTATTCAGGGGTCATTTGGCAATGTCTGGAGACATTTTTTATTGTCAACAACTCAGGGAGGGGGTGCTATTGGTAAGTAGTGAGTAGAGGCCAGGGATGTTGCTAAACATCCTTCAGTGCATAGGACAACCCCCCACAGGAAACAATGTTCTGGTCCAAAATGTTAATGATGCTGAGATTGAGAAAACCCACTTTAACTTTTATTTTACTTATTTATTTTTAAATGTTTATTTATTTATTTTGAGAGACAGGGAGAGAGTGTGGGGGAGGGGCGGAGAGAAGAAAAAGAGAATCCCAAGTAGGCTCCGCACCATCAGTGTCGAGCCTGATGCAGGGCTTGATCTCAGGAACAATGAAATCATGACTTGAGCTAAAATCAAGAGTCAGATGCTTAACAGACTGAGCCACCAGAAGCCCTTTATTTATTTTTAAAATAAATTTATTAATCTATCTCCCTGGAAATACTTTTTTTAAAGTAGGCTTCATGCTCAGCCCAGAACCCAACACAGGGCTTGAACTCATGACCCTAAGACCCGAGCTGAGCTCAAGAGTCAGATGGTTAACCAACTGAGCCGCTCAGGCACCCCTAATACTTAGATCATCTAAAACAGCAGAATCATTGTAAATCAATCAGTCACTCAGCTAATCAATCAGCCAGTTTATTTATTTTTGAGAGAGAGAGACAGACAGAGGGTGAGCAGGGAAGGGACACAGAAAGAGGGGGACACAGAATCTGAAGCAGGCTCCAGGCTCTGAGCTGTCAGCACAGAGCCCGGCACAGGGCTCTAACTCATGAACCAGGAGATCATGACCTGAGCCGAAATCAGATGCTTAACCACCTGAGCCACCCAGGCGCCCCAAAACTAATTTAGTTTTAAATTGCTTTTTGCTGCTTATATTTTAGTGTGGGCTGAAAGCAAAACGTATGAAGGTTTTCCATGTGTGCACTATAGTTGGATAGCTGAGATTTGACTATACTAACAAATATAACTTTAATGTATGCAAGGCTAAAATGTGTGCTTAGAAAGAATTTCACATGTTTGATTCCCACAACTATGAGCCTTACTTTCCCTAAGGTAATTAAGACCAAGTAAGTGTAAGTGACTTTTCCAAGGTCGCAGTAGTGTGGGCAGAGCTGGGGCTATAAACCACCAGGTCTTCTGATTTCTACTTCCGTGTTCTGTACACTCTATTACCACCACAATTCCTACTGACAGCTATTGAATTCTGTTTGGGAGCCAGGAACAAGACCATTGGTTTGGAAGGAACATCACATTGCTATTTTTATGAGAGTCCCTGGATGTTAGGCAGGTGCACACAGTGTGCTCTCTCCAATTATAGCCCCCAAAGGGGAGAGCAGAGCGTGTCACTGGGACAATTTGTTTCTTCATCCGGTCCAGTCTCTCCTTCTCTCCATATGCCACTTGGCAGAAGACAAGCCACTGTAGGCAGAGTCATCAAAGCTCATTAGCATGGAAAAAAAAAATACAGTGGACCTCGAATGACAAGGCTCTAAAACTGAAAAAAATCAAGGAAGGAGCTAGAGGAATAGGAATTAAAGCCAGTGGGGGAAACAGTATAAGCATTTCAACATGAACCTGGATTTGACTTAAGGCATCATTAAAGTGAGGAATGTTAAGAGTCATTGTGAAAGCACAGGGGACATTTTGACAAGAAAGGGAGTATTTGTGGTTGCTAATAAAAAGGGAGAAAATGAGGAAAGACATGAGGTTTTCTGTAGAAGAGGTAGAGTTCAAAGATTTTTTTAAAACTAAAAACCCCCACCCATATAGTGTTTTCTATTTGGTAGGTGCCTTACAAATACTCTTTAAATCCTCACAATCCCCTTATCAAGTAGCCGCTAGTATCATCCTCATTTTTATAGATGAGGAAACTGAGGCAAAGTAGGGTTGGATAGCTTACCTAATGTCACACAGTTGGGAAGCAGCAGAATTGGGATTCAAAACCAGGCAATCTGGCCTCTGAGTCTTGCTCTTAACCACGGAGCTGTGCCACCTTTCACGTTAAAATCCAGAAGTGGATATAACTGTACATTTTAGAAGTAGGGAGTAAGAACTGTGACAAAAGCCCATGGGAGGCAGAATTGATCAGATTTAAGTGCCTAAGGATAGGGCAGGTGGAGGGGAGTTAGGCTGAAATTTCTTTGATTGAAACTTTAAAAAAAAATTTGTATTTAAAAAATTTTTAAAAATATTTATTTATTGTGTGTGTGTGGGAGAGAGAGAGAGAGAGCAAGAGAGAGAGAGCAAGAGATCAAGCCAGCTGCACTGTCAGCACAGAGCTCAATGGGGAGCTTGAACTCAAACTCTGAGATCATGACCTGAGCCGAAAGTAAGAGCTCAACTGACTGAGCCACCCATGCCTCTTTGGTCATACATTTTTGTGATGAAGTATAAGTCAGGAAAAGACTCTTATTTTGTAGAGACAAAGCCAATGTGCCCCCAAACTCCTTCTTTGACATATGACCTCTGACCCATCAGGAGCAAAGAACATGAGGGTAATGATGTAGGACTAGGGAGGGTCTCCGAGACTACAACTTGCAAAAGGCAGGATATGGACAAAGGAGAAGGCCTCAATAAGGAAGGTCTACAATTGGGCTGCATGGAGGCCTTTCTTTTTTGTCACCCAACACATGCCAATAGTAGTGATAAATCAAGGGATGAGAGGGACTGAAAATCCCAAGTATGGGTGAGAACAACTTGAATAATTAGGGCTAATATTATGATATAGGTCACAAAGGGTCCTTAACCTGAGGTCTATGGGCTCCCAAGGGGTCTATAGATAGAATTTGTAGAGGTTTACAAACTTAGGAAAAATTATATCTTTGTTTTCATTACCTTCTAACTGAAATTTAGCATTTCCTTCAATTATGAACATTGACAGCAAACCACTATAGTATCAGCAGAACCTGACTTTGTCACTAATATAAATCACAATATTTTCATATTACACTAAAATTGCTGCAGAGATCATAAAACATCATTTATTTCATCACTACTTTGAAATTATGGCAGTTATTAGATCCACATTATTAAATAACATAATAGTGGTATTTTTTCTATTCTGAGAACTGTATTTCAACTGGTTTCCTTTATAATCCTATGTATTTTATGCATTAAAAAATATTCTGGGGGTGCCTGGGTGGCTCAGTCTGTTGAGTGTTCAACTTTGGCTCAGGTCATGATCTCGCTGTTTGTGGGTTCGAGCCCCGAATCGGGCTCTGTGCTGACAGCTCAGAGCCTGGAGGTTGCTTCAGATTCTGTGTCTCTCCATCTCTCGGCCCCTCCCCTGCTCATGTTCTGTGTCTCTCTGTCTCTCAATAATGAATAAACGTTAAAAAAAAAAATTCTGGCCAAGATCATTCAGTGGGGGAAAGAACTGTCGTCTCTTCAACAAAGGTGTTGGGAAAACGGAATATCCACATGGAAAGAATGAAGTTGGGCCCTTACTTTATACCATATACAAAATTAACTCAAAATGGAAAACAATCTAAATTTAAGAGCTAAAACTATAAAACTCTTAGAAGAAAAGATAGAGGAAGATCTTCATAATCTTGGATTTCACAATAGTTTCTTAACTATGACACAAAAATCACGGGCAACAAAACCAAAAAAATAGATAAGTCAGATTTCATTAAAATTAAAAACTGTTGTGCACAAAAGACACTATCAATCCACAGAAAGACAATCCACAAAATGGGAGAAAACATTTGCAAAATATATATCTGATAAGGGTTTAATATCCAAGATATATAGAGAACTACTACAACTCAACAACAAAAAGGCAATCTAATTTTAAAAAGAGCAAAAGAAGTAAATAGACATTTCCTCAAAGAAGATATACAAATGACCAATAAACACATGAAGAGATGCTCAACACATTTAGTTATCAGGAAAATTCAAAAAACAAAACAAAACCCCACAATGAGATATCGCTTCATGTCTAGTAGGATGACTGTATTTTTTAAAAATGGAAAATAACACAAGTTGAAGAGGACACAGAGCGATTGGAACACTTGTACATTGCCAGTGTGAATGTACAATGGTGTACTATGTGAAAAAGTTTGGTAGTTTCTCAAAAAATTAAACATAGAGTCACCATATGATCCAACAATTCTACTCTCAGGTATACACCTTAAAGAGTTGGCAACAAGTTCTCCAACAGATACTCCTATGCCAATATTCACAGCAGCATTATTCACAATAGCCCCAAAGTGGAAACAACCCAAGTGTCCATCAACAGATGAACAGATAAACAAAATGTGATATATACACACAATGGGATATCATCAGCCATAAAATGAAATGAAGTACTGATCAGGTTACAACATAGATAAACTTTGAAAACATTATGCTAAGTGAAACAAACCAGACATGAAAGACAAAAATCGTGTGATTACACTTAAATGAAATATCAAGGGGGCCTGTGTGGCTCAGTCTGTTCAGCATCTGACTCTTGATTTCAGCTCATGATCTCACAGTTTGTGAGTTTGAGCCCACGTCGGGCTCTGTGCTGACAGCGCAGAGCCTGCTTGGGAGTCTCTCTCTCTCTCTCTCTCTCTCTCTCTCTCTCTCTGTCTCTTTCCCTCTCTCTGCCCCTCCCCTGCCGGTGTTCTCTCTCTCGCTGTCTCAAAATAAACTTAAATAAGAAAAGGAAATATCTAGAAGAGGCACAGCGATGGAACATAGAGGAGAGGTTACCAAGGGGTAGGGTGAGGGAGAAATGGGGAATTATTGCTTAATGGGTGCAAAGTTTCTGTTTGGGATGATGAAAAAGTTTTGAAAACAGTGGTGATGGTTGCACAACATCATGAAATGTCATTAATGCTGCTGATTTGTACATTTCAAATGGGTTAAAACGGCCAATTTTACGTGATACATGTTTTACCACAATTTTTAAAAGTAAAAAAAAAAAATTATTCTGAAAAGATGTTCATAAGCTTTACTAGATTGCTAAAAGGCTCGCAGCACAAAAACAGGTTAAGAGCCCCTCAACTTCGGACCTACACAGTCACACTGGGTATCAGGGGGGTAAGTCCTATGTTGTACGACTACAAGGACTTGGTGGGCACCACTGGCTATGAGGTTAGAAGGATCCCATTCTGCTACCATTAATTAGTCCATCCCAGTTGCTTCTTGTTAGGAAACTGGTAATAGTGGTTAACCGAACAATGTATTTATTAAATATCATCCCTAGATGCTGTGGGGGGGCATCCAAGGTCTTTATGCCCAAGAAATTTATAATCAAGAGGGTGCTACAAGACAAACCACAAACAAGTGACTGAAGAAAAATTACACAGTAAACTAAGGGTTCTGATGACAGGAGTTCAGAGGAAGAAGACAGAAGTCATCACCAGAGGAATAGAGTTTTGGTGCTGACAGCTTGGAGGCAGTTGAATGACCCCACACACCCACCGGCACTGGATGTGGTGTCTGAAGGTAGTGATGTCAATATCCAAGTTCCCAGAGGAAACGCTCTTCCTCCTGTGGTCTTGTTGAAAGGTCTCCTCATTGTACACATCTCGCTGGACGTCATAGGCAAAAGAATTTTGCTTACGTTTAGAGCCAAAACCCTGGAAGCCTTTCTCTGGTTGCATCATTTCTGGTTGAGTGGAAAGAGATAAAAAAAAAAAAATTAAAAAATCTAGATTCTCAGTACACTGTTATGGAAATAAAATTTCCACATAATGATATTTTACATTTGCATAACAGTGCTGTTTTGCGAAACTTTCTCTTGTACAATTTTATACTCAAAACCACCCTATAAAAAAAATTCAAGGCATATATTTATCTCATTTTCCAAATGGAGAAACACAGAAGGTTAAACAGCCTTGGTTGTTTAATAATTAGAATTGGGGCTAAGGCCCAAGTGTCTTGCTGGGAAGCCTAGTTTTCTTTACATTCAGTTATGTTGCTATGTTGTGGGGAAGTGATTAAGAGGTAAAAGTCAGTATCACCTCCAATTTTCACCAAAAATACTAAAGATTAACTGGTCAATACAACGTCTTCCCTTTATCCTTTCCTTTTCTTCATAGCACTTGTCAGGACCTGATTCAATGTTTGTCCATTCGTCTAAACCCAAGAGGCAGGGCTTTTTTCATGGTTGTGTCCACAGGTGCCAGAATAGTGCCTGATACTTAAGATTGTTGTTTCTTAAATGACTGTCAAGTACCCAGTTAGTGGCACCACAGTGTAGCAGAAAAAAACATTGCACAGGGTATCAGGAGACTGGGGTTCCAGCCTTGGCTGTTTTTCTAACTAATGGTATGATTGGGCTTAAGTTTCTCAGAAACTGAGTTTCAGTTTCCTTCAGTTTCATGCATAAAATAACATGGTTGGAACACACAGTCTCAAAGGGTCACATCAAGCTTTAAAAATCTATATCATCCTGGGGCACCTGGGTGGCTCAGTGGGTTAAGTATGTGCCTTTGGTTCTTGGGACATGATCTTACAATTCATGAGTTTGATCCTGGCATCGGGCTCTTTGCTGTCTGTGCAGGGCCAACTTCAGATCCTCTGTCCCCCTCTCTCTCTGCCCCTCCCCCACCCCTTTCTCTCAAAAATAAATAATAAAAACTTAAAAAACAAATCTATATCATCCTGCTCTTTTTTTT